CTCACCGCCCACCGAATGTTCGTCTCCGCGTCCATACCCTCCCGGGATCTTCGGATGGAACAGGCCAACAGTCAACACCATGTCTTCGGAGCAAGATTATCAAGATCTTTTCGGTCCTCAAGCTAAGAGGGCTAAACGTGGTCGAGTAAGTCGATGGGGTCGAACCTCTTTTCTGTGTGATTCCCGTTCCCTTACCGGGGTCCGGGTGACATGCCAGGAAAAAAAAAAAAAAACTTCTTTGGACTTCAGCTAAAATTTCATCTCTTCTCTCTCGACGACGAAAACTGACTTCTTACTCGAGCAACAGCTCCAGACCGACAAGTCCGCGAATGCCATTCGAATACGCGATAATCAACGACGATCACGCGCCCGCCACAAAGAGTTTGTCGACGAGTTGCAGCGTAAGGTCCAGGACTACGAGAAGCGGGGGACTCAGGCCTCTTTGCAGATGCAAAAGGCTGCTCGAGACGTCGCCTTTGAGAACTCACGACTCGCGACCGAGAATACTCGTCTGCGCGCCCTGCTCGTCAGCAAAGGCGTATCGAATGGAGAGGTGGACGCACACTTGCGATCATTCGATGACGAAGGTAGCAAGGGCTCGCCTAGTGCGTCAAACATAACGACACTCGCTCCCATCCTCAATACACCCATCCTCCTCGAGCCATCACCGACCCAATTGCCTCCGCTACAAGAACACTTTGGCAAGGCGAGCTTCTCGTCTGAGACGGAGAACGAGCACCTAGCACCCAAGAGGAAATTCGGAGACTCGCTGCTCCCGCCGGTGCTCACCCTTACTCCAACTCCAGATGTCCAACAAGCCTCCCATCTAGACAGGCTCGCCGTGCTCGCCGACGCTAGTCTCAATCGCTCCTCCCAAACTGGCTCGGCACCCAACACTGTCTCGGAACCGTCCAGGAGCCCGCATCCCTATCATCGTCGTAGTGAGACACCTCCCCGTCCCTTGGAATCCCATCAGCAGCTCCCACCGGCTGCCTCGCCGCTGGAAATGTCTTGTAATGCTGCTGCACGCATCATTGCCGACATGCAAGGACACGGCGACGATCGGGCTACTCGACTGGCTTTGGGCTGCGGCGTCCAGGATGAAGAATGTTTTGTCAGAAACACGTCTGTCTTCCGAATGCTCGACCATCGATGATGAGGCCAGCTCAAATGAAAAACCAGCTCGCGACAGGCCACGGCTCCTGTGTCGTTGACCCATGGCACCTTGTGTGCTATCTGTGCAACTCTACTCAGTTATTTCTGTCGTTAGTATGGGTATCCCGCGCAACAACAACACGTGTGGCTATTCGAAGACGCAGCTCCAAGGGCCTCGGCTGCGCCTTGATACCGTCAGTCTATCTGCTCTAAAGCTGATGGAACCGGCCGAGTGCGACTGGCGAAAGTTTGTTCCTCACTCGGTGGTATCCATCGACGGGCTTTGTAGGCAGACCTAACAAGTGCGCTCGACACTGCTTGGCACATAAACACGGCCAATAACAGAGACCGAGGATAGACCGCACAAGCTGAGGGCAGTCTCACGAGCTACACGGCAGACTGACTGATCGCGTTTGAGAAAGACCCCCTACGCGACACTTGGGCAGACATGCTTCGCTCGAATTTGATACCCTCGTCTTTCTCTGTCTCTATGTGCCTGAATGCTCTTCAAGCAACATACCAATCGAAGATCGAGTAGTTGTATTGTTTACTGTGGAGAGTATTCGGGGTTGAGGAAGCTTGCATTGTGCTTCATCCTGCCATCGCTCCGGAAGCGCTCAGGAAGCAGTCGACGACCTTCACTCGTTGCGTTTCGGCGGTGTACCTGTTCGAGTTGTCAAAGACACCGCGCCGAAGCAGCTTGTGGACTCATCGCGTCCTGGGCTACCGCGCGACTGTGCCTAGCATGGCTTGAGCGAACCCATGAATCTTGAATCATGGCAATGACGAATGGTGCATCCTAGAGCGACACCATTCGAGTAATTGTTACCTATCTGTACATGTAATCTTATAATGTAAAAGGCCACGAAGCCATGCCCTCGTCACTGCCTACTTTAAGCTGAGCTATATACTTGCCATCTTTCATACCTACATGTGCCAAGAATATGCATGTGTGCCTTTTCTGTTTTCTTTCTTTTTCTGCTGGCACTTCTTGTCCAGCCTTCGACTTTCATACTCCCTCTCGATCCTAGCACGACATATTGACTATTTATTCGTTTGCTTCACCGCCATGCTCTCGATTGAAGGAGTGAGATTGAAGTTTGTGTGCCTTACTGGATAATACCATATATCAATCAGGCAAGGATCCCATTCATCTCATCCAAGAGATGCCATTCCTAGGAACTTCTTCGCGACACCCACTCTCCCCCATTCCATTACCCATACCTCGCTACACAAGCTTACGTCCTATTCAGCAGGCTTGATAGACTGCACGAATCGAAACAAATTCGTCGGATCATAATCAGCCTTGACCCACTCCAACCTACCCAGATTACTCCCCCAATACAACCGCACCGCCTCGCTCTCACTAATCTGAGAATCTGGATAGTTCGCATACATCCCCCACTGATCACTGCCCAGCCCCTTGGCAATACTCTGCCTCAACCCCTGGAGCAGCGCGAACCCGTCGGAGGGATACGTCTGGCTCGTCGAGACGCCATCCTTGAGCTGGAAGAGAAGCATCTTGTCGCGGTGGACGTAGGCGGTATCGTTGGTCTTGGGCCGCGCCACGGCTGAGTTTGCGCCCCCGTGGAAGTTCATGTGCATGTACCAGGACCGGGTTGCGGTGAGGCCGTTCTTAGCGATGGCGTCAACGAGGGATTGGAAGGTCGTTTTTGTAAGCGCGGGTGTTGTGAGGCTTGACGCGTAGGAGTTGTCGTGCTGTTGACCGCGTTAGTAGGTCTCCCCCCTTTTGCAGCTTCGGTGTGCAAGGTGCAAGTTACCTCGTTGTATGTTGCCGTCGTCACGTCGATATCCGTCACACCCGCATAGTGCTTGATAAAGTCGATCCATCCAACAGTCTTGGTACTAGACACTTTCGCACCAATCTTTGCAAGCAAAGGTTGCACCGCCGCGCGAAAGCCCGCATCATCGCCAACATACGCGCCGTTCAGATAACTCCCGTCGTTATTAAACGTCGTCGACATCGTCAGCTCCGCCGGCATAGTCTTTGCGAATTCCTGCGTATCCAGAAGAACCTGCGGCAGCTTCGCCGTATCCCAGACAAGATCTATATCGAAATACGTCACCTTCTCCGGCGCGGCAAAGGTGTTAAATTCCAGTTCTGCGACGATGACCATGGAGGAGCCCGCACCGCGGATGGACCAGAAGAGGTTGGGACGCTCCGTCGCTGAACAGCGCGTGATTGTGCCGTTGGCGAGGACGACTGTCGCCGCCTTGATCCAGTCTGTTGCGAGGCCGTAGGTATGGGAGACCATGCCATGACCTCCGTGGAGGGCGTGGCCGCTCACACCAACACTGAGATACGCGTAAGCCAAGGTCCAAGTATCGTTGATCATTCAGATTGACGCTCACGCTGGGCAAGTTCCATGCGATATCGCCCTCTTCCCCTGATTATACAGCTCCGTGGCTACGTGTCCCAGCCGCGCACCAGCCTGGACCTTGGCCGTCCCGTCGCTCGCGACAGTCACGCTGTACATGCGGTCTAGGTTAATCACAAGATGTCCATCTTCGCCGCCGTACCCAGTCGAGATGTAGCTGTGTCCGCCGCTCTTTGCGCTGACCCTGACACCGCTCTTGGAACCGCATGTTACCGCGGAGGCGATTTGGGCATTTGTGGTCGGCACGGCGACGAGAAGTGGCTTAACGGGGACGCGGAGGTTGTATGGCGTCGGGGTTGAGGATGCGATGGGCACGGAAGCGGTGCGGAGGCAGGCTGTGAGGTCGTCGAGGGGTGCGCTGAGGGCTAGAGTCGCTTGGACTAGGAGAGCTATGGCGAGATGCATTTTGGCGATTTCTCGAGTCTTCCATCACCTTTTACAACGTTTGCTGACGATGTCTCAGCCGGGGAAACTTCCTCACTTATAGTTCTCTTAAAAAGACCTCTGCATCACGCCAGAGTCTTGGCAATCTGATCATAGGTGTTCTCACCTTCCCACACGACCTGCGCCGAGTCTTCCTCCCGAGCTGGGGTTCCAATTCATACATAGTAGGTGAGCTTGATTTACCTCACTTCATGATCGTCGTTAGGTGATTTCAGCTGCTGGGTAATACGTGCATCGATTCTTTCTCGTTCCTAGGATCCTGGTCCTTCCCCGGCGTGGCTGCATAGCATTCTCGCCCCGCCCCAACGAGAGCCTGCAGGTCGGGTACGCTGCATGTCAGCTCGTGTATGCGCGTCTCAGCCCATGAGATTTCGCTTATGTAAAAGTCATTACTGTTGTAAAAGGACGCTCTGGAACACAATGTAGTGATTATTTGAGAGTGTCAGTTGAAGCGTAGCGATATTTTGCAATAAAAGGTAATATTACTGGTGATTTTTTGTGTGAGGTTGATGTTATCATCGGCTCAGCATAGAGATTTAATAGTGAAACTGCTTGAATTATTATTGCCTAAGTCCAGGATTAACTAGAGACAACTTATACTTCTGAAGTCCTTTGATTCACACTCAAGCGGAAACTTGTGATTGAGCATATCTCCGTTGTTTTCACATCCCATCTGAGGGACCTGATCAAGGCATCTTAAGCACCTACCATTTCTGAAGTTCAACATAACTGTTCCATCGTAATTCTACTTGGGGCAACTGGTATGTTTTCCAGACTGCGGCAGGCTGGATCGATCTACAGTACATAGCCTCAGCTCAAGCGCCAATGGCCTCTTCACTGCAGCCCAACAACTCCTAGGCTGCTCATCAGGCTGACTGATAGATAATTGACACTCAGGCGGAATTTCCGCGTACATTCAAAAACACTCGAGAATCCTTCATATCGCAACGATTGAAAGATTACTCAATCGTGCTGCACAACTAGTAGCGATCTTTGATAAAAATGAGTTCACCAAGTCCGCTGATTCTACCTCCACCAGCTGCTTACGTGTCGAGCAAGCATGCCGGTAGAGCTAACGATGAAGAAAGCGGGAGTCACACCGTCAGCGATCGAAATCGCAGTCAACCCTCACCGTCGCATAATATCCTCAGTGCGGACGCGAGCTCCATCATGTCCTTGTCATCCCGCACTTCGATCTCTCTCCGCCATCAAGCCGTCTCACTAGATGTATTAGGACACAAGATTGTCACCCAGCTCTCAGGGCTCCAGCGCCAGCACTTAGGGAACATAACAGACCAGGTTGGCGACGAGCTTCCATTTTTCGAAATTCGTTCAGACACCGTAGGCGCACCAGGCCCCATCGAACCCCGACGACCTCCTACAGGACCCTTTGGCTATCCACCAAGGACAACCGAGGCACCAAAGGATCCTCCTGTAACATTTTCTTCTTCAGCAACCGAAACCCCTATCACTTGCGAGAAAAGAGCCGGTAGGCGTATCGTCAGGAGGAAGGCCAGTCCGCCAGATCCAGTTGTCCAACGAAGGGAAGAGATATGCGACGTACTAGAACCGCTGTTCTCCAATGCCCCGTTCGTCTTGGTCTGCGAGGGCAAAGAACAGGATGCTGTCATCTCCACCATCAAACTAGGAGATACATTAAATTCGATCAGCTTATGGGATAAATTGTCTGGAGTCGCGCGGCAGGTAACTCGGCGGTGGAAACGATTGCTTGGCCCTGTGAGGCTTGAGCTGGTAAATGTAAGTGGATCTCTTATGGTCTCGGACATAGAACCTCAAGATCCAAATTATAATCCAGATAGTTGCTGACCCTGAAGTTCGAAGCTGAGAATCGTAGGCCGGCATAGTTCCAGGTCGGATGCATTCCGGGGACAGTTCCAGATCGTCAGCATTGCTGAAAGAATTGAGGCTCTCCAAAAGTTGATCAGCAACGGCAAATATGACATGACCGAACCATCGAATCCCGACGACAGCGAGTATTGCTGCTACCATAACCTGAGAATGGATACAGTCCATCATGGCAGCATGATTCACGAGGCATGGGGAGAAGACCTCACATCATCCAAACTCAGCAGTTGCGGCGTTGAAATCCATGTGGATAGGTTGAAAGAGCTTTCAAAGCTCAAGCTGGCTTCAGTCTGGGACATGCTCCTGGTCTATCCAAAGCTAGCCGTGGGGAACGATGTGCTTTACGATAGATGGATTTATTCTTCAAAGTGAGCAGGTCTCCAGTGTCTTTGCTGTCGAGTGATGAAAGGCCTCACTTGAGGTACTTACTAATAACGTTTCTAGAGACATCATACCACCTGTTGAAACTGCCGTGATTCGTGCAGTGGCAGACATTGAGTTTGTCGGCTTCCGAATCGTGGAATGGCCCTATACCAGCTTTGGCACGCCATCTGTGATACTTCTAGTCGGGAGCACTGTGGTTTTTGGTCTCCTTGTTATCGTTTCCCAAGCCGTGTATCGAGACTGGGGTGTTGCTTATACAGCGGGTGCCTTTTATGTAGCTTTGGCTGGGGTATTGACAACCTGGATTGCTTGGACATCGACTACCTAGGCGATGCAATGCTGCCGCCTCAATTACCGATTGGCTTTGATAGTCACATTTCGTGAGGGTGAATACTGATATGTGGGCTCGAAAAGTTCCTAGGAACCTGGCCTACCTATTGTCGATGAGTCGTCAAGGAATAAAGAACGCCTATACAGAACTCTTGGATAATCTTGAAAAAGCAAAGATTTGGGGGAAATGAACCGCGTTATGGAGGCCCGACGGCCAATGCGCGACCAGAAATGGCTTACATAAGCCGTGATGTGGAGCCTCTGAAACCTTCCCCCAGCTTCCGGCACTTCCCTCCTTTTATCGCGTACCTCATTCTCATGATGAGCTTCGAGGACGACCATCGTACCGCCACCACTTACAGTCATGGCCAAGCCGGCCCGGAATCAGCTGGTCGGGAACCCCCGACCTGCGTCCGAGCAGGCGTTGCAGGCCGCGAGAAACTACATCAACGACTCGCGCAATCCGGTCGTGCTCAAGAGAGGACACGCCCCGAAATACTACGTGGTCTACTACCTGCGCGGACCCGGGGCGCACGGCAGGAAATATGGCATCTTCACGGATTGGAACGATACCAAGAAACAGACTGAAGGATGCGAGAACAAAAGTACGCGCAGGAATTCGGCTGTGTAGTCCGTCATTCGTCAACCCCACCACGCTAACACGCGGCAATCAATCCAGACACTACCGCTTCGAGCTTCAACGTGGCTGTGAGTGAAGACCTTCTCATTTGTGAACTAGGAGACTGACATACATTAGGTGGACCTTCTCATCTCTGGGCTTGCTCTCGAGATCGACGCTGGCTCTTTGATGAATTATTCCCCGGCACATCAAAGTAGGTCTACCGTACCCTCGCCTGCACCCGCCGCGGCGCCTTCTCCAGTCAAGCGGCCCCGGGAGGGGCAGGAGGAGCACGATCAGGAGCCTTCGGGTGTTTTTTATCCTGACGTCCATCGATCCAAAGCCGTCAAACGCGAAGCAAACCATCAATGTGGTTCACGCGAGTCGCCTATCAAGATTGAGGATGATGACGATGTGGTCATCAAAGAGGAGAAGGATGATGCTCGCGAGGCCGTGATCAAAAAGGAGGAGGATGATTCCGCTCAGGCAGCAATAAAAAGGGAGGAGGATGGTTTCCATGAGGCCGCGATCAAACGGGAGAGGGGTTTTGACGAAGAGGAAGAAGTAATGAGGGAATCGGAGGGGTTTTTCCCTCTCAAGGGCTACTCAGATCAAACGAACGAGTATATCAAACGCGAGAATGATCGCCCTGAAGGCGAGAAAGACCCGGCAGTCGCAAAGGCGGCCCCGGAATTTCCCCTATGCCCTGAACAGCAGCACGCCCTAGATCTGGCCATGCAAGGTCACAGCCTCTTCATCACGGGGTAGGTCCATCATTCCTAAAGGAGGAGGAAAACTAAGTCACGACTGACCCTCTCAGATCTGGCGGCTGCGGCAAATCGGTCCTGGTGAAGGCCCTCAACAAGGCCCTAAGCGCCCAAGAAAAGATCGTCTACCTCGTCGCGCCTACGGGCCAGGCCGCCACTAATATCGATGGCAGGACAACGTTTTCCTACGCTGGATGGAACGTCAGTGATCCGAAGGAGACATTCAGGACTCTTGTCAAAAAGTCGCGTTACGATTCGGTGTTTAACCGCATCGAGAGCACCGACGTCCTCATCATCGACGAGATCAGCATGGTCGAGGGCGAATTCTTGAACCGGCTCTCTGACGTTCTCGGAATGCTCCGACGGGAGAGGTTCGCCACAGGCAGGGGCATTATCTGCAGAAAACAGACCGCGGATTCGGTGAGGCGACCGTTCGGCGGCATCCAGGTCATCGCGGTCGGGGACTTCTGCCAGCTATCCCCCGTGCAACCGTTCGAGTACTGCACTGAGGAGGTGGCATACGACCCGGACCACCAAACTTCAACGGCGTGTGGAAAGTTGGTTTTCGACAAGGAACGCAATCTGCACTTTTGTCCTCGAGACAGAGAGCACCCTACATTTCCAGATGCTCAAAAATGGGCCTTCAACTCGCGGACCTGGGCAGATTGTAATTTTCAGTGAGTATCATGATCCGTTGGATGGTCGAATTGAGGACGCAGACCTGACATCCTCGGCGAATAGATACATCCATCTAACCAAGATCCATCGGCAAAGCGATAAGAAATTCATAATGATGCTCCAGAAAATCCGCCTGGGTCACACAACCGACGCCGATCTCAACGTCCTGCTGCAACCTCGCGAAGTCAGGAATGGTATAGCCCTGTTCGGCCGCAGGCAGAAAGCCAAGGACTACAACGACCTGGAGCTCGGCAAGCTTCCCAGCCGCCCACAACAGTTTGATGCCCTGGACCACCCGAAAAAACTCGGCGAAGACCGAAAGAACCGATTCGACAAGCAGCTGACACTCAAGGCTGGCATGCCGGTTGTGCTGCTGGCTAACGTGAGTTCTCCCCTCTTCCCTCTCCCCTCTCCCCTCTCGCCGCGCTATCGCACACCCTGTTCCAAGGTTACCTAGAGTAACGCGCTAGTGAAAAACTCGCAGCTCGACGTCGAGAATGGTTTCTGCAACGGCAGCCAGGGCAAGCTCGTCCGCTTCATACGGAAGTTGGACGAATGCAACAAGCCCAAGATGCCCGAAAAGGGGAACTACAAAGGGGACACCTACGGCTTTCAGATCGCATACGCGAGATACGAACAGATGACCAACTACATTAATGGTCCCTCGGGTGCCATGGGTTGTGAGTTCTCCCGTGTCCCGGGTCAATCAAAGAGTTGTAGCCACGAACCGCTAACCTTCGTCCCTCTTTCTCCGCTGCACAGTCCCTGTAATCATATTCGCAAACGGCCAAAATCGCGTCATCCTCCCCTACTGCGACATGGACGACATCGAAACAGAGGTCATTCCCACCGAAAACGGGTACAAAAAGGTCCTGAAGTCATACTCGGCGCGCACACAGATCCCTCTAGTCCCGGGCTGGGCCATGACCATTCACAAGAGCCAAAGCCTGTCGCTCGACCGTGTCAGCGTTAACCTCCAGAACGTCTGGTGTGGAAGGCAGACCTATGTGGCCCTGAGCCGCGCGCGATCTCTCAGCGGTCTCAAGGTCATCGGAAACAAGTTAACGATGAGGAGTACACTGCCGCTGGACCCCGAGGTGAGCAGATTCATGATGGAGGCAGAGCGCCGGGCGGCAGCGGCCCCGGCAGACCAGGCGAATGATTAGCCACTCCTTTGAAAGGCACGGGTGGTGTGAGATGGGTTTTGAACATCGCTGGGGGATGAGAGCGGACGAAGTAAGATCAAATCCCGGCTCTTTTCGAGCCGAGTTAGCTGTTGAAGGGATAGAGAGAGAGCGTTTGAACCGCTTGACCGGTTCTTTGTCTTCTAGGTTTGGTAGCGATGCTTTCTGTTGGCGTAGGGAGGCTTTATCATATTCTGTAGGATACCAGCTTAAACAGCCGAGGCGGGTGGCTCGACGGCAACGAGGGCATTAGCGATATAAGCGGGAGTTATCTCGGCGTTGTAGTCAATACTGTCGTGCCCTCAACCGATGCGAGGCTGATTGATGATGGCCGCGTCCCCTCGAACGTAGGAACACTTAAGAAGCCTGGGAAGCTCGTAGCAGCGGATGACATAAGGTAAGTAAGCTGCTGACCTATCCCTCAGTCTGGAAAACACTTACCTAGAAAGCTAGCTGGGGAGACAATCCTCACTTTCTCCCTATCTTGAGGATACCCGTAGTGGTCACCATGGCTTGTTGCAATACACTTACGTGAATAATAACACTCTCTTCAAGATAGGAGTCATGACCTCGTTTAGTTAAGAGGAAATTAGCCGGCGTACTTTCGTTTCTGGAGCGTCGCATCATCTGCACAGGCAACCAACACAGACGCAACACGTTCCCTATAGTTAGTAGGCAACGAATCGGCTTTGCGCGAGCGTACGAAAAGCAACTGCAGCGGCGATGCGGGTGCCTCAAATTTCTGGCCGGTAGTAGTCATAGCTAAGGTAGGTAGCCTTGCCTTGTTTCCTCTCAAACGGCCAGCCTGCTTGATCACCCCCTCTTCCTCACTGATCTAGGTGACACGAAGGGGAAGGGACGTGGACGAATGGCATTCAAGAAATCATTGAGTAACACACCATAAGACCCATGCGCACGCAGCTCGTTTGTCGTTCAAGACAACCGGTGAGGCACAGTGTTGCCCCGATGGTCGCCCGGGTAGCCGGGCTCTGCTCTCTGGTTCCGTCATTATCCGGGCTGACGCATATCGTCAGACAGCCTTGTTTTCTCATTCTTTAGGATGTTGTCTCTCTTGGAGTCTGTACTTAGGACAACTTACCAAGCGTTGGGCTTCAGGTGGTACAGAGAAGAGTACGCCAGCTTTGGTCGGATTAAATGGTCTCGTAGAGCATTTTTGGAGACTGAAGAGTTTCACGGGAAGATGAACAGAAAGCAAACTCCCGCGCCCGCAACATCCCGTCCTCGTACAGCCTAGAGATAGTGCTCTCGCAAACTGTCTATAGACACACTCCAACCTAACGACCTAGCGCGTTCATTCTAATGAGATTCTTTCGCACTGTCCGACCGGGCAAGGGAGCGGTGCGGCCTCTCTTCCGATCCCACCCCTTGAGAGCCCCAAGTCGCAGCCCGTTTCGGCCTACTTTAATACCAAGGGGCCTCCTCGTGGCGGTTCAGAATCGGACCAGGTCGTTACGATATGTCAGCACTATGGCGACTCGACCAGCTATGATGGACGATACCGTTACAAACACCGCGCTGACCAGCACTCCCACCACGGCCACCACGCCGGCTGCTCTGACAGAGCTCTTCGAAAAGGCCGAGGCCGGTTTCCCGCCGCGGTTCCGCGAGCATGGATGGTACCTGACCGTCGTATGAAGACCTTTCCCTCCAGCTAACTCCAAACCGTCACCGAGCGGGGTTCGCTCGCAAGACCAAGACTGACAGGCTACTCATCTAGATCGCCTCGCTCATCGGTTCAGGCCAACAGAAGCTTGCTGGGAGTCTCTACACACATCTGGTGGCCCAGCCCCAGTACCAGACACCCACTGAGCGCCAAGCCCTCATCCGCCGCCTGCGCGAGGCCATGGTCAAGTGCATCATCATCAATGGCATCCCCGTCGTCATCGAGGCCGTCACATCAGTCTCGGAGGTCGAGAGGCCCGAGGACACGGATCAGTCCTGCTCGCGCGAGGACTGGCAGATCGGGCCCGAGACGTCGAAGCGCGCCGCGGCTGTGCTCAAGGTGCTGTATAAGAGCGAGGTGGGCGCCCCCGTCGAGGTGCTACATGCCCACAAGGATATCCGTGAGTTCATCCCTTGAAGCCCATATCCATATTGTCTGGGTGTTGGAGTTTCTAACACTGCGCTCACCAGCATGGATATCGGTCAACGTGTCCTATGGCCTTTTCCTCTCGGACCATCGCATCCTCGATATACAGGAGACGGAGCTCGTCGTGACCCCCGCGATTATGACACAGAATCTTCAAGACCCGACGTACTGGCATCTAAGGGCCTGCCTACGGGTAGGCATGGAGCCGGAGGAGGTCGAGGCCATCCATAAGGTCATCGAGCTGGTAGCAGCCTATGGGGGGAAGACGCTGGACGTAAAGCGTGTCAAGGACGTGACGGATGCGTGAAGTGAAGTTGAATGGAATGAAATAACACCTTTTCTATTAAGCTTACTTCTCCAGATCAAGATGCCCCTTAGACGAGCCTCTCTTTAAACTCCGCCAGTGTCTGATGAAAGTGCTTGAATGACCACATCCCTCTATTCCATTCCAGCTCATAAACCGCCGCAGCCTCGACAAACTTACGCTCTGCCCTGGTCATCAATTCATGAATACTTCGTCTCTCCTCTTGGCCACCCCCAAATAGGGCCGTCGCTTCGTCGATCTCGATGATGATCAGCGACAGCTCCGCAAGGCTCCGGGCAGGTCGCGGCTTCTCCGACGCCGTCTTTTCCAGCAGCGCGATCATCCAGGCCTTCGCTTCTCTGAAGCGCCGTTGCGCCCGGAGAGCTTGAGAGTATACCTCTGCGAGCTCGTAATCACTAAAGGTAAACTCCAGCTTACCGCCTTCAAGCATGTTCATCCGTACCGCCAGCCCCTTCATAACCTGAGCTTCGGCTTCGGCCGGCCGTCTCTGCGCCAGGCGAGATCTGGCCATGAGCTGGTGCCACACGCGAAGCAAAAAGTGGTTTTGGCCGATGCCTCTCTGCAGCTCGCGTGCGCATCCTTCGAGCACGGCCGCGGCTTCGCCCGGCAAGCCCCGGTCGATCTTGATGGCGCCGAGAACCAACTGTTTACGAGCCAGCATTGCGCCCGAGTCGTCGAGTGAGTCATCCAAGTACTCATATATTTGCTCGGCGCGGTCGTAGTCTCCCAAGCGGAAAAAGCAGGGGGCACAGGTCTGTGCCAGAGACGAGGCGTACATCTTGTCCAACCGCGAGCGCTGGTGAAATGTGGCGAGGTAGCGAGCGCAGTGGTCGCTGCACTCCCTCCGCCGCCCCATGCTCATGAGCCGAAAGGCGCGGCGCACCGCCAGCAACCCGTCGGGGATCCGCCAGTCCGCGTGCTCGCTGTGGGCGGCGACAAGGTTGAAGAAGCGGTCGGCGCGATACAGCGTGCCGTGGTCGAGGGAGACGGGAACCCAGGCGTCGAGGGCGATCATGCAGGCACCGATCTTATTAAGCTCCGTGTCGCTGAGAAGCTCCGGCGTATCATAGAGATTTTCGAGGCAGATACAGAGATAGGGATATAATGCCTCGCCCTCAGCGAAGCGCGACGCGTCGTAGGCGTTGACGATGGCACGCATGACGAGAAAGATGGCTGCGCGGCCGCTCTTGATCCTGTCCGCGCTCGACTGCCGCTCCCTGAGCCAGTAGTGGACGAGCGGATGAGTTGACATAGTCTTCTGGTCCACGAGCGAGAAGGACGCAAGAGTGCCGATGGCCTCGACCACCTGCAGATGTGGGACCATAAGTTCCGGTGGCACTTGGCCGACAAGCCGATCGTAGTCGGCCGGCGTCTGGACGAAATCGACAAAGTCTCGTAGGAGGAGCCGTTGTTGGAGCTCCGGCCCGCGGATCTGAGCGAGTTCGCACATGAGCGCGAACGGGGCGCCGTCCGAGTAGAAGAAGGCCGCTAAGTCGAGGAGGCGCGCGGCGACGGGGTTCCTGGTGGCCACTGCGTGGAATGAGATCTCCCAAGTGGTGAAGACGGTCTGCTCGTACGACCAGACGGCGCGCGGTGGCTTATGCCGAAGTAGCTGGTCGTGGCTCACGCGGTAGAGATCCATGTACTCGGCAAAGTCGATGGATTGTCCCGTGATGTAGGCGCCGGCCTGATCGAGGGCCAGCGGGAGGTATCCCAACTTGTGAGCGACATGGCGCGCAGCTTCTTCTTCATCGTCTCCGCGACGGCCAGAGCAATTCTTGAGAAGGGTTACGGCCTCTTCCTCTTCCATCATGCCGACCTCGACCTGGTGGCCTAGTCGGCGGGCCTCCTTGCGGCGGCTCGTGATGAGAATATGGCCCCACGGCACGCGGGGAAAGAACCGCGAGACGTCAAGATTGTCTAGATCGTCGACATTGTCAAAGACTAGGAGCCACCGACGCGACTCCTGCTCTTCCTCGCGCGAAAGCCACTGCAGAAGCGCGAGCGCCATGAGTGGCATGTCCTGCTGCCCGCGGTCTTCGTGAGACGTGGTGATCTTGGGAACGAGCCCCAGCGTCTTGGTCAGCTGTGTGAGCGACTTGATGACCTCCTGCTCGTCTACAGCAAAGACCCAGAGGACTGTAGCGTAGCGGCCGGCGTTGTAGGCATCGTAAGCGAATGCCGTGGCGATCTGGGTCTTGCCTACGCCCCCGAGGCCCGTCAGCACGAGGCGCTTCTGTTGCGTCGCGTAGTGGCCATCCTCAGAGAAGAAGTTCTCCATCTCGGCTATGATCTTCTCACGGCCGGTGAAAAGGGGGTTAGAGCTGACAGGTACCTCAAAAGAGACGTTGGAGAGGGTCGCTGCCTCTGTTGCCGGAGCGGGAACGGGAGGATAAGTAAGTGATAGGGGAGGAGGCAAGGAGGAGGCTTTGGGGACTGCGGCCGACTCTTTATCAAGCGGACTTTCCGACACGTTTTGTGGTTCAGGTTCATACCGAAAAGCCTGGCACCTGGATGTCGCCTCTCTTGGGCACTTCAGCGCGTCATCCCAGACATGGTGTACTTGACGCTCTAGTGCCTGCGCGTCTGGCCTCTCTCGCGGGTCAACACGCAAGATCCGCGTGACATGACCGGCCCAGCAGTTAGCCCAGACGGGCGACGTAGCCGTGGCACATTGTTCGTCAAGCCACTGCAGCACCTGAGGCCGTACCATGTGACTCGACAACGACGTACTGGTGCTGGTGCTGTTGCTGTTGCTTGGCGAGTCAAAATTGCCGTCCCGGATGTTGTTGAAGACTTGCCTCCGCGCCGCGAGGAAGCCCTCGACGTTTCGCGGCCCGCCAAGGGCAAAGGCAAGAACTTCGGCGAAGATGCAGCCGAACGACCAGATATCGGCGGACCGGCCGACACGCCCCACAAATGCGGCCGTGCCTGTGCCCGTGTCTGTACCGCCGCTCCGGGCGCTTTCCGCAAGGTACGGGACCCAGAACTCGGGCACCTCCGGGGCCTGGTACTGGCCTCGCCCACGCCGCGCGTTGGTGTTAAAGGTCCCCTGGCTATAATAGGAAATATGATGGTCATCCGCCGCGCGGCCCTGGCTTTCCTCGTTCTTGAGTACGGATATGCCAAAATCGCACAGCTTCCAGCGGCCCACGGCGCCGTCACCACCGAATATGATGATGTTGTTGGGCTTGAGGTCCATGTGTGCGCACCGCACCCACTTTTCGCCGCTCTCCGAAGACGCGGGAAAGCCTGAGTGAAGGAACAGTAGGGCGCCAGCGAGCTTGACGCACTGGTGTAGTAGTGCTCGGGCGAGCTCGGAGTTGCCCCAGCCATGGGCGTGGGCGTGCGGGAACCGCTCTTTGAAGTCGTACGACCTTACTGCGTCACCATCGCCGTGCTGCCCGCCGTGTAGAAACTGACCTAAGTCACCGAGCTCGGCACGAGGGAAGAAGATCAAGAGCCTCGAGGAGGAGAAGCCCCCGCTGCTCCCATGTTCGACGACAGCGTTACAGAGCGAGATGCTATGATCTCCGGCCTTACCCTGGCGGAGGAGGCGCATGTTATCCGCCTCGGCGAGGCCATCGTCATGGTTGTGGAAAGACTTTACGGCGACGACGAGAGGTTGTCGTTGATGTTCCTTGTACATTCGTGATGTCAGTGATAACGTGACGATGTTTTGATGACCTTGATTCCCGTATAGTAGCATAGATGGAGATTGTTCATAGTACAATCTGAAGCGTTTGAAGCACAAGGGAAGAGAAGTTTGGATGTAGTTAAAGTACATACCGGCACCCAGCTTCGAGGGCTAGGATCTTCATCTACGACGTATTCAGGCGCTAGCTTGAAGAACTTTGCAAGAAATGACATGTTAGCGTGCATTAAATCCGATGGAAAAACAGGCAAGGCCCGTCATAAAGGTGCTTACTTTCACATCGCCGTATCCGCCATGCTCCTGTCCTGGGTCGCATTCCATGAACGGAATCCGCGTCAGCGAGTTCTGAATGACTTGTATTGCCGGCGCCGCTTGCGGGTTCAGGATGATCGTCGCCGGAGTAAATAGGTATTGCTCTTCCCACCTAGCTGTTTTACCTCGCGATAGACCCAGCGCTTCGAGATCTGCTTCACTATACGGCATCTCCGTGTCTCGGTACCGAGGTGTTGTGTCATCACCATCTTTGAAGAGTAGGTTGGAGATGTGCGCGTAAAACGAGGGCGGAACCTCGATGTAGGCCAGGAAGGTGACGAACAAGAGTGAATGTTTCCAGATGGAACTCAACTGTTGCTTTTCAAGGTTGAACAGGACATCTCCTACGTTACCCTGGTGTTCCCAGAGCTTGCGAACCCTGGAAGCGAGGAAAAAGGGGCGGTGGAAGGGCGAGTCTAGTTCGGGCTTTGGACGGACCTGAATTGCAGGCAGTCTGTCGCACATCCGGAGGAGCTGCCGTTCCCTCCGCGCCCTTTTCTGTAAGGCATCTGTGTTATTTTCCATTTGCCCTGGGTTATCGAGACGCAACGTTGTCTGAACCAGGTCGTGAGTTGGAGACACTCTGAGAGGAGATATAGAGGCTCCCTAGCACTCAACTATGGACGAGGAACGCCTCTACACATTGCTGACTGTCTGTTGGGCTGAACCGACTCGCCACCTCAGCTCTCCTCTCTTTGCGAGGCAACCTAGGGCGAAGTGGAGGGAGGAATCGAACAGCGCATCAGCTTCCAGCCTTCCGGCCTCCACGTTGGTCCACCACCTACCATGCAATGTCATTGACTCGCGGCGCTGTTTCTTGTGTCTACTGACCTCTCGAGTCTTCGGCCAGCCTCTCAAATGTCGTACAACATCCCTCCACCATTACAAAAGGCCAATATTGTAAGTGAGCCTCTCCTTCGTGATTGCACGGTACGCACGATGAGGCTCCTCCTTTATCCTCTGCTCCGTCCCATCCCATCAGCATCCTTCTTCTACCTCCCATCGCATGGATCACGGCAACAGAGTCGGCGAAGTGAATCCGTGCCACGCTCGACCATGGACCTAGTGCGCAACGTCCTACCTCAGAGACTATCACGATATGTCACTCTCGGCTCCGAGCTTCTAGTCCTACTCCAGGAGAGATATGGAGACCATATTGACTTTTGCATCGCAGTCCGTGTTCCTCCTCCTCATCTTGCTCACCTCTTCTAGGGAGAAAACAGTAATCCAACTGTTCGAACAGCACGAGAACGACCGCTGGTACTTTGACTGCCCAGAGCAACTTCAAGAGGTGAGGAATACCTTGGGCTTCCCCCTTCCTATCGTTGGTATGCTGGCTGACGTGTGTCGATTCTGGACAGAACGAGCTAAGGCATGTCTCGCCGCAACGGCAGATGCCGATACCGAGCCGATACTAACAGTTGCAAACAGGGAGATCGTCACTCAGATTGCTGACCGGCGCGATGCTGCTCGGGAGGCTGCAAGGAGGGAACGGAGGCGGAGAGAGCGGCGGAAAGGAGGCGGCACCTCCAGCCGAAGATAAGCGCTTGTCGGGGGTTGTGTATCCAATGTGGCACCCATCACCGCAGCCTCATGAAGTGGGCGAATTAAATTGGGAGGCGAAGTAAAGAGGGTGTGGGCAAGGGTAATCGGGTGACGGTGAAATGCATGTCAGCCATGTTTCCTCCCTCCCTCGGATAAAGGGGGCACGGGGGCTTGTTATCTCTCTGTGTAACTCTCTGTGTTACCACACTTCGGAGGCTGATATCGTCACACAAGAGGTTCAGTCGCTTTCTACTCTCCTGTTCCCGTCTCGTTCCGTCCGTTTCCCACCGAGAAATCCTCCTATTTGCGTTTTAAAGTTTCCCGGTGAAAGTTGTCAGAACTTGAACTTTGGGGAATGGAAGCTGCTCGCATCTGCTTTTTCTTCCGCGCAAACTACTTCAATAATCAACCCACCCAAACTCCGGTCCGTCTAGCTTGCCGGCTGCATGGCATGAAAAGGCAGATCAGGCTGTGAGAACCGAGCCGAGCCGCAAACGCTTCTGCCACAGCCGCGGGCATACCACAGGGCAAATTATCGACCAGCCTTGCCCTGCTCTGCTCCATGCCTCATGCGCATCATCGCGAGTGGTTTCCATATGACGGTCTGGAGTCCTCTTGGATCCCTCCACGGACTGACTGATCTCGCTTCAAGAACTTGAAAGCTTCACGGGCACGATGAGCGGCTGGGATCAATACTTTGCGCATCAGCAGAGTGGCTTCAATCTCGCTGGGCTCCGCAACCAATTGGATGATCTGGCAGTGACGGCGTTTGCCTCCAAAGACTCGGAGACGCTCTTTGATGTACTGGATATTGACAACAACAACGACAGTATGCTTCATTATCACCCCTCCTCGACGCATGTGTGGAATAAACATTGGTTGACAGCAAGGTTATAGACAAATTCCACGCAAGCATCGTCAAGGAAGAAGATGACCTCAGTCACGTTCTCGACACTGCGCCCACCGCGGGCATACGTATAATGTCTGTCACTTCTGGACCAGAATTGCTTTCATCGGGCTTCGGGCTAATCTTCGTCTGTGATCTAGCTCCATATCGTCGGCCAGAACCATCAACCCGCTGCGGATCACCTCGTCAATAGCCGGCAAACTATTCGATAGGTATCAAGTGCGTGCTGAGTTCCTACGAGTGCTCCTGTCCTTCGGCGACGAGCCTCACCAGTCCGAGGCCGGCAGCGCCAACAGCAGCTTTGTGCCTCAGGGCAATGACGCATGTGAGGCTTTCCCCGCACCCTTTATAACTTCCCTTCCTGTTTCTTGAGAGAAATTCATTCTGAGAACGCCTGGTAACTTTAGACACGCTACTCTACAAGCTCAATTTCGTGGAGCGGAACGACCGATCCGGTCCCGACGCGTGGTCCTTCCGGCATGTTGGTGTCTACCACCAGCACACGCCCGGCTTCGACCTCTTCATACTACTGCACTGTCAGCCCGCTAGTGAGCTGGCGGAGACGCTCCGGGATCTCGTCGAGGAGGAGGAAGAGACGGAGTGCTCAGAGGAGCTCGACGACAAGAGCACTCCGACGGTCAACGTCTTCAAGCGAGACCTTTGCTCGCAGCCGGCGATGCTGCACCATTATATCCTATCCTGTTACCTCGACAACTGGCGGGCATACCTCCGCCATCTAGGTGACAGATTCTCTAAAGTGGTACGTGAAGCGAAGAGTTTCGGTAGTTTCCCTGATGAGACTGACACTTCTAACCTGTCTACCTATGAAGCTCAATACAGCTATGGTACCTCATGCCAAGATGGACCACAACGTCTGGGTGACCTTCAAGAGCGTACGAGAGCTGAGAAATACCAATGATCTCGCCCTCTTCGCCAGCGCCTGCTGCCAGAGCAATCTTGAGGTCACGGGCTGCATCCTCTCTACCGGGAGGTTCCTGGCCGCCGAATTCCAGTCCATGGAGACCATGCTACGCGGATACATCGACAGCTCCGCTGTGCTTCGTCAAAGAGTGGATAACACGGTCGAGCTAGTTAGTATCCTCTTTCTCTGTCAGATTACCTAGCGTACTGCAAGTTAGAAAGTGCCTGACGTTCTCTTCCTTGACTCATTTAGGCATCGTATACGCTCTCGCTGCATAATCAGCAAGAGCTGCAGCTCCTCACCCGCGAGATGAAGACACACATTAAGAACACGGGCGATGTAACGCTCAAGCTAAAGGACCTGACTGAGAACACGGTGGACGACAGTGCCATCGTACGTATCATCACCATCATTTCTGCCATCTATCTTCCGGGCAGTTTCGTCGGCGTAAGTGTAGCCCAAAAACCTATGTACAGTTGGGTTGATTAAGTATGCTCATACATGCCTCCGCTTGCAGTCATTGTTCGGAAGCAACTACTTTTCCTTCAACGAGAAGACCCGCAAGATTGCCATCGCGAGGGATTTCTGGGTTTTCGTCCTCGTCTGGCTCATTTTCACGGTCTTTACGGTGGCTGCTTACTTCTACACGTACATACGGAAGAAAAAGAAGAAGGCGACGAGGGCCCTGAAAGATCTCGGAGATGACGTCGATGAAGACCAGGGTAACTACAACAAACCTTCTCCTCTTTCTCCTCCTTCCGCCAGGCAACATGCCGTCGAAAGTAGGCCCCCACCATCGCCATCCCGCCGCTTTCCCATCACTCGAAAGCGCGGCTGACGAGGCCGGTCGGCTCCATCAAAGGGCAATCAAGCATGATTTGTGACCCTGAGTATGTAAGAGCACGAAACTGTGACCCTTGGTAAGGTAATTGATGCATTGGCTTCGGTGGAGCGGCTACTCTGAGTGCCAGATGGTTTAGAGAGAGGAGGGGGGTGAAGGCCGCGGGGGTCTCCACCACTTCAAAAAAGTATTTATCGGAGAGGAAAAGAGGGCAGAAGGGAGGGGAAGAGGCAAGGTGGCTATCTGATACAACTAGTTCGCAGAAGAATCTCAATACCAGTACTTACCTTACTGCAATATGCTTTGCAAGTGATGCACTTGAGCAGATTTATCTTCCTGCCATCTAACAAGTTGTTGCTCAATGTCTTCTAGACATCACTAGCCAGAAGTTCCAGCAACAAGAAGTTGAGAAGGGCCCCTTGATAGTTTGGGCTCGTTCGTCTTCCTTGATAAGGCGTCTGCAAAAAAAAAATGCCTTGAAGATTTCAATCACTTTGATAAAGAGTCCTCCTTCTATTTGTTTCCAAGTGCTAGTAGACGCACGTAACAATCCTTCGGCTTATATGTCAGGCCCTCCCTGGCACTATAGCCAGACAATTCTCTCGGGCACGGAAGAAGCTGGAAGCTCCACACAATCTGCGCCAAAATGATCCTCAATTCCAAGTACGCCAACCTCCTTCCAAAGCAGCCACGAGTACCCAGACCAAAGGCGAGCTGGGGTCCTGCCTGCTGGTCAAACTCGAGCCCGCCGGGGACACTGGATGACTCGACGAGCCAACGCTCTGGCTTGAACTGCCCGATATCGTCGTCATCCCAAGCCCGGACTTTGGCACTTTGGCTGCTCTGGCTGCGATTTGACTCTTCGACGTTGAATGCCGGTTTCATCATGCTGTGGCCCTTGTTCAGACACATTACTACTGTGCCCTTGGGGATGTGGTGTCCTAGCAGCTCGGTGTCGCAGGTTGCTTCGCGGTCGACGAGCGGGGTAGCCCCGCCGCATCGGAGGATCTCTTCCACGGCGGCATCAAGATACGGGACTTTCGTAGTGTTTCCTGCGAGTTCCTTGACGGTCGGACTGCGTTGCTCGGCGACGGCATCGGGGAAGGTGGCTCGGAGCGCTTCGCGCAAGTCGGTCTGCTTCTGGGGGTTGTCTGCGAGGAGTTTGATACCCCAACACATGGTGGTGCTGGTTGTATCGTGTCCTGCGACAACTACGCCAAAGATCTGGCATAGATGTTAGCACAATTCCGAGCTGTAGTTTTCCGGTGAAACGTCTGGCACTTACTTCATCAACCATGATCTCGGAGAAAAAGTCCGGAGCCCTTCCCTCACTCTCTGCCAGCTTCTTCTCCCGGAGCACTACCAGCTCAACAGCGGACAGAACCTTGGACTCTTCATCGCCGACTTCCTGCAGCCTCTTCAGAGCCTTATAGATCTCTTCTCGCACATATGTTCTCTTGACGTGGAAGACGCGACGTAATGAGGGAAGTCTCTCGACGAACCACCACTTGAGTCTCGGAATCGGTGAGCCTTGAAGGTACTCAATCGAGTTCGCTACACCGAGCGTCGCTTGAATCTTCTCGTCGCACTCTTCCGTTGGAAATTCCAACGCCTCGTCGCTGCTGAGACCTGAACTCCGTAAACGCCTGATATCCTCCGCACCAAGCCCCTTAACGAGGTCCGCTGTCGGGCGCAACGCGCTGCTGGGGAAGCTACCGCCAAATGTAAACGTCATGACGGCGTCCAGAGAACCGTAGTAGATATCCAGCTCCGCAGAGAACGGGCGTCCCTCTGCAATGCGCGCCTTATCATTCCACAGCTGGATCAATCTCGAGACCCCGGCATAAACCGTTGGCGCTGCGACTTCGTTGAGGAACTGCGGCGACATGAGGTCCTGGAGGAGCCTGCGGTGCCTCTTCCACTCGTCGCCGGTCTTGAGGTGGATGTGGTGGTTGCGTCCCGCACCCTCCAAGAGGTCGGCATCGAGGGACGACCGATCAAAGTCCTTTCGTCGCATCAAGATGTCTTGGGCTTCACGGAAGTCGGAGAGGATCAACAACGGCTTGCCGAGGGGACGGACGAAGACTTGAAAGAGTGGCGATTTGAATTTCTCCGCCTGCTCGTTGACCCAAGCGTTGAACTCGCCAGTGCGTTTGATTCCTTCGAGGACGGACGGGATGTCTCCCAACAAGCGCTTCGTCGCTTCGACATTGTAGGGGATTCCGGCGATCGGCTTGGGTAGAGCCCAGTTGTATAAGACATACAATACAAGACCTGCTACGGCAAAGATGGCAAAATTCGATGTGGAGAAGGAGAATCCTATTACAGTAGCACGTTGGTCGCCCAATGTGCGCTCCGTAAGCGCGGTGCCTAACATCGTGATGGGGGTGGACGGTTGTAGTAACGCTGGCCCAGCGAAACAGGTGTAATGACGTAGGCCCTCCGTCTTGACATCCGGATAAGCTTGAATGGTTCAGCCGGCGTGACAACCTTTATAGAATCAAAGCTTCCGTGCAAGGAAGATAGCAATAGCGGGTTCGGGATGGAATTTTGGCCGTTATCTGGTGGGAGTGTGGGTGTTCTCCGAACTGCAAAGTGCGTTCTGAAGCCCCCTCCACGATGAACTCCAGGTGCCTGGACCGCCGTAGATAGCCCACGGATCACCGATTGCGGCAGCTTACTCCACCATGGCAGAAGGGCAAATAATTAAAGTGTCATCAGATTGGGCCCCTGGCGAGCGTCTTTCCCGACACGGCAATCGACTCGCGGGCGGGTTGGGCGACGGGTCGAGGAGATTCTATGCCAGGTAAGGATGACCCCCGAACGAATCATCGCGGTCCCCTGTAGGGCTTCCACTGATAGTCTGACACAAGCTCTTCTCTTCTCCAGTTGACGGGGCTCAGGGCTAGAAAGCATGCTGAGCGTGAGCCTCTGCCTCGGGATCTTAGGCGTGGTCTTAGCGTGCCGTGGCGTGCCCACGTTCCTTTTGCAATTCGGGTTGTCAGGGCTAGCAGCAAGTGACAAGTCTTTGTCTGAACACAGATCGTTCGAGAGGCGGCGTGCCTTTGGCTACTTACAGACGTGAGGCTGAAATGCTGGGAAGAAAGCAGCTCGCAGCATTCTTTGGCATTGTTTAGTTGGACCAAAGTGGGTGATGGCCTGGCATGGATGCTTGGGTAAACCTAAGCGATTCTAAGTACCTTGTTATCGAAGAAAGTTAATTCTTTCTAAATTATAAGTATAAGAATATAGTTTTAATAAAATAGTATAGTACCTACTTAGTACTTAAATTAAAATACTTTTTTAAACTTATTATAAGAAAAAAATAATTATATTATTAACTACTTATTATTAAAGTTCGTAATATTATAATTTTAATTATAATAGTTTTATTTATAATAAGTAAAAAGTTTAATTATAAATCCTTTAAAAGCCTCTTTTTAAGGGCTATAAAAGCCTCTAAGTTAAGTTAAAATACTTATTAAAATATTAATAACTAAATTAATTTTATAATAATAGCTTTAATAAAAAAATTAAAAAATAATACTAAAAAATAATATTAAAATTCTTATTAATATTAAGTACGATTTATAAAATATAATAATATAATTATAAAGTATTAATAATATATTTTATATTAAAAAGACTATTATTAATATTAATAAAATAAATAAGGCCGTATTAATATAATACTTCGGCTTTTTTTTATAGCTCGAGGATTATAACTTTAAATAATATTAAAAATTTATTAAAAAGCTCTTTTAAATATTTTAATATATTTATTATTATTTTTATAATAATAAAACTCTTAGTACTTATATATAAATATAAATTACTTATTTTTAAATAGTAATATTAGCTTATTAATAAGTTATTAAAATTATAATTTTAATGATTTTTTAATAAGGGAGAGGGTAGAATAGAAGAAAGGATAGGTAAGAAAAGGGTTAAGGTTAAATAGTGCGGAATTTAAGGGCAGGGTAGCGTCTATATGTACTGCGGCAATCCTTCAGTAATGCAAAACGATAGAGTTAAACAGTGAACCTAAGCGATTCGCATCGAAATTTCTACCTCCTGGGGGCTGTGAAGCGAGAGACACTTGGGGCCCCATATCGACTCATCGAGTCGAAAGCTTTAGCAATGCCAGCTGCTCCACCATATGGATGTCTTAGATCGTCTGTGTATCGATGAATTAACGAACAAGAAAAAGCAAAGTGGCGGTCAATCAAAAACCAGGTGAGATATGATCGATGATTAAGTACGACTGGGATTCCAGGAGTTGTCTCAAGTTTTCAACTTTAATCTGCACAGATACTCGAGATGCGGCACAGCTGCTTGCGAGAGACAAAAGAGTCGAGAAAACACAGAAATGTCCTCAATCACAACCAAAAAACATAAAAGCGAAGACCTTGGTGGATTCTAACCACTGCAACTCCCCGAGGTGGGCTCGAACCACCAACCTCCAGATTAACAGTCTGACGCGCTAGCCAATTGTGCCATCGGGGATAAGCTCGAAATGAGCTGAAAGGATCTTGTTGACGTCAGCAGCGAAAGAGCGGCATTATCAAAGTCACTTGCTATTTTGGTGGGTGTTTGGTGGGTTTGGACCGTTGAAGTGGGCCAGTTTCGTGTCTGGCGACTAGGGCACGAGGGCTACGAGCATTGGCGTTTCATGGAAGGTAAGGTACCTAGGGAACCATTCGATGGTTGGGAATTGGATGGGAATTGAGGTAGTTGATGGTCTCGAAACTTGAGTTCATTTCAGCATGCTCAAAGAGCAGTAACACTTGACGTCTGGGATGGACGGGGATGGCAAGTTGTTGGTCATGCGGAGTTGGTTCGGACGATAAGATATCAGATACTATGTCAGTTGTCATGTTTGCTCTTCTTCTAGAGAGTATGGGCTTCTTTTTGGCGGTAACTTTGCAAAATTTTGATAACCTTTTGACCATATACAGAAGGACAATCGAAGCGCGACAGATTCCCTGTCGCTACCT